ATTTAGACTTATTCATATATTTTCCCAAGGAGAGTTTCTTTTATAAAAAAAAATAAATGGTGCTAATATGTTGCCGCCGAAGCAGCACCACCATGACAGGTCTACCAATTGAAGGAAAAGGAAGAAAGGTTCAGAACCAAACCAATGATAGAATCAAATCATTCTCAAGATTTAGATTTTGAAATGCTCTGTTCCATGTTGAAACTCCTTTCACCAACCTTGAACTTGTAGCAGCCATGGAGCTGTAGTAGGGCATACGTACAAGACGATCCGAATCAGAGCAGAAAACGACAGGCATTTTGTTTCATACAAATCAAAGTCAATTGAAAAGGGCATGAGCATGTACAGCCTGAGGCAGGAGGAGGTAGCGTTTTTGTAATCAGCACGTTCCTTCTTTTAAATCAACAAGGGGGAATAAAGTTGGGATCCTTCTCTTAGCTCATAGGCTGCAAAACCGAAACAAAAGAAAAGAGGTGACATTAGCTGTTATGTAATCTTTCCAAAAGGGAAGGAACAGTAGCTCTTAATTCAAGGTAGCTGTAAGTCCTATCGTCTGTTTTTTTACTGCATTGTTTCATTGCGGCATCATCCACCTATGCTTATAACTATTATGTGGAAATGATCAGTAACTACGTAAATTGGCAAACCAGGAAGGAAATTCAGAAAGAGGGAGCAACAAAAATCAAGTTGCAATCCTGTAACGCAAGTTGGCACTCTAAGAAGAAAACAACTAACTAAGAAGGTAAGCTGGCTGGCTAAAACGTAGAGCAGATCTTTGGAGACTATGCTCTAATACATTAACTAAACTATCTGACACAAGCAAATTGATGCAGAGGGGATGGAACCCTGTCATGGACATATTATATTACTAAAAAGGGCTATGGCATATATAAACCAAGATTAAGGCATCTTTGCCTGTAGTTATATATTATTTCAGTTTTAACTGTAAATAGCTTCTCAAAATGTACTACTTTACCTTGATCGAGGAAATTCAAGATGGGAAGGGGAGGAGGGAAGGAATTAAGCCATCTTTGGTTGTAGTTCTATATTATTTGAGTCTAACTATAAATAGTTTTTCAAAATGTGCTACTTTACCATCCAGGAAATTTAGAAGGGGAAGGGGAGGAGGGAAGGGACAGCATTTTTAGCATGGGTTACCAGGAGAAAAAATTGTTTAAAAGAAAATTAAATAAGGGAAAATAGAATGCCTAAAAAAAGGGGAAAGGAAGGAAAATAAACGGATCTATCCATCAGCCCTTGACTGTAGCCTGTAAATTACTATACTGACATAACAACATGCAATAGTTCCAACAGACCACCAATAATTCCAAGAGACCATCCGAACCATGTAACAGTTTTTTTTCTCGGGAATCAATGCACTAAGCACAAAGGACAAAAAGAAATTCGAGACAGGAACAACTAAAATACAGAAGTAATAACAGACCAAGGAAACCTACTAAAACAGCACAAATATGGGACTGGGGAAACTGCCTGAGCCGCAAGAACCTCACCAAAAGAACAGAACCTGAACCACTTCATGTGTAGTTTGCTGCCTACCATTTGCCAAGGTGGTAAAAGGCATACATAGGTACATGAAAGATTCAAATTAAGTCACGCACAGGGAAAACATAAACATAACAAAAAAAAAATCCACCGCACTGGCATATATATTTAATAATCGGTTTCATAATATTAATAGCAGTCATGATTGCAAACAGAGCACATAGGACGGATCAGTAGGGTTTCACCAAGGCTGCATAGTGGCTTATGTTGACACTCTAGTGTTGGGATATCAGCCATGAAACTCTAATGCTGAGGGAGGTAGTTATGGCAAAGGACCAGACTTTGTACCCTGGCTTATCCAAAACCTTTTGATCACAATGGTAGATTGGGAAATGATGCTATTTATGGCAATCACCAATCAGACTCAAGAATGGATAAAGCAGTGAATTCAAACCTGAGCGAGCCACATAGAATAAAGGATGAGAATATTACTACATAAATGTATTAATCTGAATAAACCATAGATGTTCCATGTGTATGTTAGTAACCACAGTAAATGCTAAATCTCTTTCTCCCTTGCAACATTGCTAATAAACATCTTATATGCATGCATAGAAGATAAAGCCGAGAGGGAACTGATTAGGACCATTAGATCTTGTTTGTTATTACCTTGATTTGGAACAGAGAAGAACATATTTTTTGGAGGGAGAAAAGAGAATATTGTAGCTGTCAAAGTGAGAACAAAACTGAATGTTTGAAGAAAAAGGAACAGACATAAGCAACTACCAGAAACTTATTAGTGCATCTCCAAATTGCAGAATATATTTAGAGTGATATTATCATGCAACATATTTAATAATGTAACATGGATATGATATATTACAGGGACATGTCAAAATGTTACACGTGCACATTACTACCACGAATCACCCCGATTTCATGTTACATCTGCACAGGTCCACAATGGAACCAAATGTTTTTTTTTAAAATTCAGATAGCAAGCCTATGAGGAAATAATTATAGCAAAAACTCAAAACATGGAACAAATTATATTCAACAGTGAGAGATCAGATCAGTTGATAGTCTAAATAAAAGTTCTTAGATGGGATGGCTCATCCTAAAGGCATACTAAACCAGTAAACAATTGGGAAGTTACAACTCTATTTATCTTGGCTGTTGGAGGACTAACATAGAATCAGAGTGAGGCGATGTAGTTATTTGGCTGCCTTCTGGTCGGTATCTGTTATGAACAGAAAACAAATATGTAAAAAAGGATACGAAGGGGCCGGCTGCAGAAACAATTGTCAACTACATTCTGAAGCACATGTATTTGTTTACTCTTAAATGTGTTACTATTATTATTGTAATGCAAGCATGTGTGAGCAGAAGCACTGCTGGTTAGCCGATTAGAAGGTCAGGCAATACTGTGAGGAGCATATAAACTCTATCCCTTTCCTGCAATCAAACTTTGGGAGCGACGCATAAATTCTTTTCAACTTTAGCACACAAACTGAGAGTTATAATCCAAAAGGTAACATGTCTAAAAGAAACTAAGAGATAAGCTGTTGTAACAGAGCCTCTACTCTCGACCCAACCTTGTTTTCCCAGTGGTTTCTTTTTTATCCTCTCTCCATGTGGTACGAATCAGATGGTAAAACCAAAAACATGCAATCAATCAATTTTAGAAGAAAAGGAAACTACATATAGACCCCTGCAATGACACATGATAAGACAGACAGAACTGACTAAAAAGCCAGGAAATAATTATAGTAGGCAAAAAGGCTTACCAATACACTGGAGTTGTGACCTCGAGCAGGCCGAGAAGCGCACAATCTAGATGATTTTTTTGCAGTGCACACCTTGAATAGTAAAAGAAGAAAGGAGAATCTCAGTTCTGAAACGAAAGAAAGAAAGCAGGGAAAACCTAGAAAGAAAATCAGAGGCAAAAAGAAAGGAAATTAAAAACCTGCAACCTTATAAGACATTAAGATTGCAGGGTAAAATAAAAGAAATCACATTCCATTGTGTATTTATCTTCATAAATCAGAAAAGGATATCTTTTTTTCATTTGTTCGCTCATTCACTCTTATAAACCTACAACACTTTTAACACTACTAAGGAATATGGAAATTGGAGAAGAAAGTTGAACACAGATCCAATCATATGAATGCAATACAGAACAAGACCTGACATGACAAACGTGATGATAAACATAATTGAACTGAGTCGCAAAAGGTAACTGATTTTCTCCACAAATTACATAAAAATAGCATGCACCACAAAGTAATGAACTATCCATACAAATTCTAGAAACTATTGGCAGTTCCATATTGACTCTAGTTGTATATTTTTGTATATCTATTTTTAATGCAATGCTTTGAGATCCACCCTTTATCCACCGACGGATTGTTGTTAGCAAGCGGCCTAGAGGTCAAAAGAAAGCTTTCGATGAAGAATGAAACAACACCCAAGGGATGGCCATAAATCAAATACCTTCTAGATCCAAATTGATTTGCTGCTTCTCTTAATTCGTCTCCCTCCACCATATGAAACTGGTGCTCATAAGTTGGTGTCCTGAGATAAAAAAAACAAGGACAAGGGGTCAGGAGAACCAAATATGGAGAAGGTTCTACATATGTTTGTATTTTTGTAGCACATTTTTGGCTTTATTCAAAGTAGAAAGTATGTCTATCCCTACATGCCATAGCCTCTGAAAACTCAACAAGATGTGCATCAGTTGAGCTGACATGAGTTTGAGCAAGAAATTCATAATGCTGCCTTTGCTAACACACAGAAGCTTTACCAATCCAGCAACACCTTTCTAGAAAACCATACACCAACGTCTTTATGGAAAAGGGAACCTCTGTCCAGAATCTTAATAAGACCTAAGAAAGAGATAATGCTTCACCTGGAGCATAGTAAACTGCTTTTTTTTATGCCCATGAAATTCCAATTCCAGCACCGTATCCGGCATTTATAGCATACAGCAAAAACAAGAAATGGATGAAGCAAATTTAAGCAAAAATAAAGGAAATTGTAGCAGAATATATACTAACCTGAAAGTGGAGAGATGGATAGGGATAAATACATCATCGGCAATGGGGTGTGCTCAGTAATAGAACAACCAACAAATTACGTGAAGTAAAGACATCATTGACAATGGATTTATGCTCAATTGCTCAGTAACAAATGTACAGAATGTAGCAATAGCGACACCGCCATCATAACACATGCAAAAGAGAATCGCTAAGATATAATGACATTGCCATCACAAGAACAATGCAAATAGCAAAATTCATGGAAGAATGAAATAACTATAAGCATTATTGCACAATTCCATTGTCTCAGTCTAACAAAAGTCCATCATTGCACAATCCCAAAACCTCAGTAGATAACATAAAGAACGAAACAATCAATCATCACTGTACAACGAAGGATATCAGTTCTGCACATCTAAAAACAAGAGAACGGCAGGTGCCTGCGGGAGCCGACAGCCTATGGCCTCCCAGGGGAAGGGGAGGTCAGGGAAGAGGGAAGAGCGCACCCCCGCCATGCGCAATGGGCCAGATGCGTCGGTGTGGGGCTCCTCCAGCGATAAAGGCCGGCGCGCCAGATCCACACACGCGTACACTTTCCCGGCGCTGGCAAGGAGAGCACAAACCAAAGAAAAACGTCTTTCCCAGCGCACGCAAGTGCGGAGAGCCTCGTACCCAGTAGACACAGATCCGGTGAGGGGACCGACGGATCCAGCCGCAGGGGTACCGGAGACGGACGCTCGAACGGTGGGATGCACAAATCCGGTCATGGAGGCACCACATCTGGAGGTGGAGTTACTGGAGCACACGCCGGAACACGCGCTGGAGCATAGAGAAGAGGGAAGTCGGAGAGAGAGAGCAGGAAAGGAGAGGGAAGGATGAGATAGAAGAAGCCTGGACGCAGAGTCGGTGAAGCACACGCCGGAGCAGCCCACCGACGTCCGGCCCGCACCCACCGCGCTGCCGGCCGGGGCGCACCCGCGCCAAGGCAACGCCGCGCCGGGGGGCCGCCCGCCCCACGCGCCGACACCGCTCCGCCGCGTCGGGGGCGCTCGCCCCGCACCGCCGAGCCGCCCACGCGCTACGCCGGCGGCACCGCGACGTGGCGGGAGGCACCAACCGCCGGGGCGCACTCGCGCCGATGCGCCGCGCCGCCACGTCGGGAGCGAGGAGAGAGAGATGCACGCACGGCAGGGGAAGGGGAGGCGGGGTAGAGGCCATGGCCGCGGGTGCCGGCACCGGCGGCGTCCCGCCCATGACCAGGGGCCCCTCGATCCAGCCTACTCTTCAACGTGATTCAGCTTTGCATGTTTGGGCAGCTCCATCGCCATGGTGACTGGTGGCCGCACGGCGCACTGTTCCATCAACGGTGAGCAACGGCGGCGCCACTGCCGTACGCCCTCCTGGTTCCATCCGCCCGTGCAGCGGCAGCTCTCGTGGTGAGCAGCTACAAAATATCTTCCTACGATCATTGCATACAAGCTACTGGAATATTTCTTATTCTCATTTTCCCTTTTTCTTGCCATCGATCTTTCCAGATGTGCGTGATGGATCCATGGCGGCTCTCTTCCTATGGTGGTGGATCTCACACGGACGGCACCCAGAGCGACGACGATGCCCGCGCGGACAGCACCCCGGCAGCGGTGGCCTCCTCGTCACCACAATACTCCCTGCCCTTCCTGTCGCGACGGCGGCGCGCTCGCCCTCCCGGCTCATGTGGCGGCGGCGGCTATCCAGCACGGTAGCACCGCTCCTTCCCCCGAGGCCCCTCCCTACCTGCGCACCACCGACGACGTCGGCTCCATGCTCCACCGCTCGTCGCGGCCCTAGGCGTCGGCGGTGCGGGCTTCCACCGTGCGACCCCGTTTCGCATGGATGGTGGCCCCAGCGGCGACGCGGCTCGCCCCGCCCGCACGGCGCTCCCCGACGGCGACGCAGTCGGTCTTGCTCGGATGGCGGCCCCGGCGACGGAGCTGCTCGCCTCGCACGGATGTCGGTTCCGGCGGCAACGCGGCCCTCCCCAGTCGGATGGCTGCCCCCGATGGCGGAGCGGCTTCCATCACGCGCATGGCGGCCCCAGCAGTGGCGCGGCTCATTCCGCGCCAACGGCGCCCCTCGGCGGCGGCCTAGCAAAGCGGTGTCGCCTTCCTCCCTCACGATGGCGTGGCGGCAGGCCCCTTCCCCGATGCAGCGACATTTTTTTTATTCAGAAATGCTATATTTAACAAAAAAAAAACACACATAGATTTTTTTTCTCTCTCTCTTCTTCTGTTTTCTGGCTTGTCTGGTCGGAGAGAGATACGGATACGGCGTGCAGCGGCAGAGCAAGCGTCCAGATTTTCATCAGGTCATGCATGGACGACGCATCGGCGACGCATGCATGCAACGGCAGCAGGCAGGGAGGCAGGCCACAGGCCGGCCGGTCCCGCTGCATGCCTCGATCCGCTGCATGACTCAAATGGTCCACAGTGCGGTGGACGGCGCGGACGCGCTTCAGGGCCGCACGAACCCGCTTGTCCTCTACGTATACGCGTGCGGCGACACCTGATTTGTCCATACATAGAAAAAAATTATTTCTTATGATCTATGGATATGTGATTTTATGATCTGTGATTGTCTGGAAGTAGAAGAAGACTGAAGGTAGAAGAAGGCTGGAGGTAGAAGTAGGATGAAGGTTGTTGGGTTTTAATTCTATAGTGCAAAAAAAATCATGTGTTGAAACTGCATAAAACATATGGTTGTTGGGTAGACAGACTATTTTTATTTGATTTTTGTTGAATTTATTTGTACAAATACAGATGAATTTGTTTGATTTCATCCAAAAGTTCATGTGTGATGTATTACCGATGAACGACGACATGTTAGTTGTTGCATATTCTTGTAAATCTCGTACATATTTCTTAGTACAGATTATAGTAAATCTCGTAAATATTCCTTAGTGCAGATTCTCGTAAATATTCATTAGTGCATATTCTCGTAAATATTGTAAATATTTTTTAGTGTAGATTCTCGTAAATATTTCTTAGTGCAGATTCTCGTAAATATTATTAGTGCAAATTCTCGTAAATACTTTTTAATGTGGATTCTCGTAAAAATTTGGTAATGCAAAATCTCGTAAATATTTCTTAGTGCAGATTGTCGTAAATATTTTTGAGCCTCATCATGCTCTATTCACGTAACTACGTAATTATTTAATATACTATAGGTTTGCCTTTCCCTTTAGTATTCTCGTAAGGGCACGTACAAGGGTCGTTGCGGAGCTCTCTGTGTGCGGTCATTTTTATAAATACACGCCTGGCGCACGTACGAGACAGCGAGGTCGTCGTCTCATGAGACGATGGCTCGGGCTCGTGCTCCCATGCGAAATTAACGTCTCCACACCTGTTGCAACGGCTCAGACAGATCCGATGCGGTTGCGCAGGAGAAGAAGAATTGCGCGTAGACACCAGAGCTAATGAATGCGGTAGGCCAAAGACAGTCGGGCATGGCGCGGAGGACGTACGACACGAGCTCGCCGTCGCCGCCGCCATGGCCGTAGACGTCCGAGGGACACGCGCTGGTCGTCTCCCCTTGCTTGCCGTCGCACCGGCTGTTCCGATCTCTCCAGGACTCCAAGTGAGAGGGCCGTTCCGATCGAGACGAGAGACCGGTCCAAGTCTGGACTGCGGAGTGTGAGAGAGAGTACAGATGCAATGATAGAGTTGAATGGATGGCCGCATATGAGTAGAGTGGAAGAGATTTTTTTTATTTCCTGTACTTTTAATATTTGTTTAGTGATACTCATAGGGGTAGATGATATGTGACAATGGTTCTAAAGAAAATTTGTAATTCCATTCATCTTATTTGTACGTGATTGTATCAAGAATCAAGATGCAACAAAATGATATACAAAGATCTTCCTATTTTATCATGGTTTATTTGCGTACATTTAATAGTTCACAGACAGAGACGACCATTGTATATTATAACAGTGTGTTATATTTGATCTATGAAATATATTATATTACATTATATATATGTAATATATGATTTACTTTGAAGGATTTATTTTGCATCAATTAGAAACACAATGGTACATAGAAATGATATTCATAATTGATCATGACTACATGCAAGCATTAAATAATTTGTAGACAGCTAAACAAAAAGCAGCTATTTGTGGGTTGTATGAGCTGTCTATTTAGCCGTCTGTGTTATAAATTTTAAGAACTTATACACAGCAGCTGTCTCTATGTTGTACATGCCCTAACACTTGCACGGCAAGTTTACACTAGCTTCATGTGTAACCCATATATCCATGCGCATCGTGAAGCATGTTATTATATTATATTCCAAACATCCGGCCTGATTAATTACTGCAATTACTTGTAGCGTTGATTCCGGTCCATCACTAATTAACGTAATTGCTGGTTGTGCCGCTAGGCTCGCATGGCCGCATGCATGAGCTGGCTTGCTTTGCATAATTACTCCGGCCGGCTCGCTCGGCTGAACAGGAAAGCAGTAACGTTTTTGGGCTGGCCGGCTGGATCGGATTAGCATCAGGGTGCGGTCGGATGGTCTGGCTTCTGTAGCTACTCTCTCCCCACACACACACACACACATATATATATATATATATATATATATATATATATATATATATATATATATATATATATATATATATATATATATATATATATATATAAAGAGTGAAGGAATTAAAAAATAGTTCCCACTTAAAGTTTTATATCCACTTTATTCGAGGACCCTCAGATGATTTATATCTTTAAATCTAACGGCAAATGTTAATCTAATGGTGGGCCATATATGTAAAAAAGGTCTTGCAGTCACGTCTTACGCGTTCCTGCCACGTAAAACCACTCCGTCGCCCTCCCACGCTATGTTTTTTTACCAAATAGTTCTCCAACCCGCTCGCTGTACCCACGTCGCCCCTCTCGAGTCCCGACCACCCAGAATTGCTTTTCACGGTTGTCCTATATTAAAGAATCAATAACTGTAGGATCTCTGGTTGGCCTAGAAGGGGGGCGAATAGGCCTGTCAAAATAAACACTCAAACTTTTATCAAATTTACCCTGCGACACTGCCGCTCTGGAGGGCGGCACTACCGGACTGCGGCACTACCGGACCAGAACAGCGGCACTGCCGCACCTGCAGATAACTTCGAGTCACAGTTCAAAATCAGTGAACGAAAACTTAGATCGGAGAAATTTCTCAGCTTACTGCAGTGTGGCAGAACCGTCCAAAATAACACACTTACAGAGGCGCTTGTCTTCCACCAGACACTAAGCACCCCGAAAGCAATCTACAGCAGGCGGGTTCCATCGGGCACACCCCAAGAGAGAGCTCGAAAGATCCATATTTTTCTCCAAGGATCCAATAATGAGAACGAGTTATAATACTTAATCCATTTCATACATCCAGAGTTTTTAAAAATATATTATTACATTGCCAAATTCGGAGTGCGGAATATTAAACAGCGGAATGAAAATAAACATCTATTGATAATGAACAAGGATCCGTCTGTGCCCATCAGAAGAATCCTTCACACAACGGTACTCCTCAAGTTGAACCTACAACATGGGTAAATAAACTTTGAGTACACAATGTACTTGCAAGACTTATCCGACTAGTGGGAATAATTTCCCGACTCCAAGGAATATGATAAGCTTTATGGTTTGCTAGTTTCCTTTTTACAGAAAGCAATACTAATAGTGAGTCCTTATTTATGTTATTCCTAACAGTCATGATTAATTTATTATCTAACCATTCTATGTAAGCACATGTTCTACTTTCAAGCAAGAGTTGAGCAATCAGTTCCATTTCATCACCTTTCGTCTTTTAGTTCTTACTACGGTGCTAGATCATAGACAAGCCATACCGGATTGCCCGACGATTCGCGAATCAATACCCCCAGCTGGGTACCCTGAAAACACACGCCCCGCTTGTACCCCAGGCACAAGCAGGCCCAACCCATCACCCGACTGTCACGGGGTCCAGGTCTCTGTCCAAACTTGGACTCCAAGCCCCCGCTCCTAAGTCCCGGACTTAGTGCGGTGTAAGGACCTCCACCATCTCCGCCTCCAATCAGTCGGTCCAGAAAGAGTCGAAACCCACGACAAGAGAGCAACGAGTCTTTCCTACGCCCATACCTAAGTATGTGCTCGGGATAATAAATATGTGACTTGTCTAGAGACCTATGCAACGGCAAATCCTTAACCGACACAGACAGGAAAAAAGTGTAACCAAGCTATGCCTTGTTGGCCGCAGGACACAACCTCTTACACCCACAATTACCCAAACCATATCCCTGCCTGGTCACAATTTTTTCTTTCCACTATTTTATCATGAGTGATCATAATTATCACCTATTGTGAGTAACGGTAGGTTACTCACGCTACCGAAAACCTGAGCATAGCAGCTACTCGACCTATACTAGTAGGACTCATAGGTAGATATATTTATACATGTAGTTTTCATAAAATGTCTGTAACGTAAATGCACATCATATATATATATTCACTGATTATTCAAAATAAGGGTTATACACCGGGGCTTGCTTTGGGCAGGCGGTGGGTCAACAAAGTCAGCAATGAACGGCTCCGGGACTCCCTCCTGTACGAGAACCTCCTCCTTGTACTCCTCAATAATCTCCTCGTAGTCATGTTCATCCGCAGACACGAACTCTACCAACTCATGATCTACATGCATGAAATGATGATGCAACACTTAGTAATACGGCAACAGCAACTCTTAAAATAAAAAATACACCCATCAAGCTACTAAGCTAGTCCTACCGACTAAGGCGCTACGTCACCTATCATTCTCACTAAACAGGTATGCAACATTTCATGTATTACTTAGCAACTAAAGGAGTCCCTATTCTTAATATCGATTTACTCTATAAATGATACAACAGGGAGTACTAGCTATTCTATTTATCAACCTACTCTAAGGCTATAAAAATTACAGCGAGCACATAATAATCTAATGAGACTACTGTAAAAATTCCATGGCTAAAGCTATCACTGATTTGCCATAAATATTAAGCTAACTAATACTAAGCTTTCCAAATTGAATTTATGAACCTATCATT